TGAAGAAGAAGAGGATGCATGCTCGGTTTTCGCCCCGAAAAGCTCTCTAGTTGCTCTCTTGAGGCTCTGTTTGCAGAGTGTCCTTGGGAACTTGCTGTTGGATCTTACCAAATCCAGGTTGAGGAGTGCACCAGTGGCCTGCCGGCCATCAAGGCTTACTGCTGGCCACCTGCCGGCCAAGAGTGGTCCTCTGCCGGCCAACAATGGAAGGGTGTTGGCATCTATGTGGCACTGCCGGCCACTGGCGTGCTGTGACACCATTCTGCAACAAAGCACAAAAATAGAGGAAAGAGAGTCCCTAGGGCATGTGTGTACCATGCCACCCCATATCACTTCAAAACATCAATGGAGAGGCATCATTGGATCCAAGACCATCAATCGAGCATCTCAATGCTTGATAGCCATGCTTGATGGCCAAAGATCCAACTTGTACAAATTCGATGAATGCACAACAAACAAGGCACTAAGACCACGGCCTTATCATGAGAGGTCAAAGGCAATAAAGGCAAAGGGGATTGGCTCACTTTTATCTCTTTGAGTATGAAGTGGGCCAATCCACCTTGTGTTCAACATAATGTCCGGTTGAACACGATGCAATGCAAAATGCAACATGCTATCTTTCAAAGCTAAGGTGGCATGCACAAGACTCCATCATGTAAGCAATGCATCCAAGACATGTTTAGAGACCTAAGCAATGAGACAAGTGACGGAAAACAACACTAGAATCATGCTATACAATGCTCAATGAATCAAACTAGCCCAAAACAGAGCTATAGTAGGCCAAAACAGTGGCTGAAATGTGATGAAACTTGAGCACAAGGAACAAAAAAAGCATGCTTAACTTATGGCTCGCAAACGAGGCGCAAAGCTTAACTCTCAAACACATTGAAAGAGTGATACATATGAGAGTATGACAGGGCCATATGCTCTGAAATAACATGTTAAATGACACCAAGGCATGCAAACAACTCAAGCTTAGCATGCAAGAGGCCCTAAAACTCAAAGCTAGTCAAGGCATTCACACAAGAGGCATGCAATATATAGCCTAAATGACTAAACCAGCTCTGGACAGAGCTCAAATATGCCAAGTTAAAGGTCAAAAATATGCTGAACTGGCAGCCCAAGAGCTTAGACAAGCATGCATGCAAATTGGCTCATGATCAAAGCATAAGGCACAAATCTCTAAAGCATTGAAAGAGTGGAATATGTGAGAGTGTGACTACACCATACACACTAAAATCATGTAAGAAGTGAGGCTAAGGCATGCAATCATCACATTCAAAGCATGTTAAGGACCTTAAACCCAAAGCTAGTGAAGTCCAACTACATTATAGCTATACAAAGCTAAGCATATATGACCAAGACCACTTAAAACAGATCTCAAGCATGTTAAATCAGTGGCCAAAATGTACTGGAGCAAAGCTAACACATGCTAGAATGATGAACTAAAGCATGGAGCATGTTAGGCCAACAAGCATGATTGCACTACAAGTATAAGATGCAAGCAACCAATGACCAAACCAACCAAAAACAGAGTTATAGTAGGTCCAAAATGTCACAAAATCATGCTTGAGCTAAGTCACAAAAGAGTAGGAAAGCATGCTCAAGTATGAGACCAACAAGGCAAGCAAACAATACAAAAGGAGAGGGGACCACCCCCTCCCATTTGAGACCTTAAAACAAATTTTTCACCACTGAAATTCCTCTGGAATTCAGTGGTTAAAAGGCCAAAACAAGATAGTTTCGAAGGCCTCAAGAGATAGCACAAAGCATAGCAAAACAAGCCACAAAAGAAGGGAGAACAACTCTAACCCCAACAAGACCTTAAACAACCATTTTAAACACTTGAAAATAAAGCTTTTTATAGTTAACAACCAAGCCTAAAACAGTATGCAAATGTGGCTAAGATGGTATACAAAAATAAGCTTAAAAGGGGAACATGCTCACCCTTGGTGCACAGCAGCAAAACAGTAAGTTCTCTGAGCCAAAACCAGCTTTTTGAGTCCAAACAAGACCCTCAAATACCTCAGCAACAAGGCAATGGTGTTTTACTAGGTGTTGTAGTGCAAAAGTGTGAAGAAAATACACTTTAAAGCACTATTGAGCACAATAGAGAGAGAGAGAGAGAGTGAGGATTCTAGAGAGAAAGAGATATTTTCAGCTCTCAAATTTCTGAACCCTCAATAAGGGGGAAGCACCCCCCCTTATATAGAGCAATGCAAGCATAAGCTTGCTTGACAAGCTTAAACCTGCCTTCATCCCTCCATACGTGTATGGAGGGTGGCTTAGTGAGCCACAGTTGGCCCAAAATATCTAACAAAATATCTGTTGAAACATGGTGGCCTGCCGGCCATCAGTGGTGGCTGGCAGTGCCTCATTGATGGCCGGCAGGCACAAATTGATGGCGAGCAGTCCTCTATGATAGCCAGCAGGCCACCTAGAATACCACAAAGAAAAGACCAACACATGGTCCAAAAATGAAACAGAATGGAAATAGGGTTTGGAAGGATCAAACCTAGAGCATTCCGTTGCGAAAGTCGAACACTCGACGAGCAATCAACCTTGTTACTAGATGTACCTACAAGCACATCCAAGTCTTGAGGACGGTCAAAAATGAGGTGTCTACAGCGCCACACTTAACCGGTCCCACCAGAGGGTAATGGACCCCAATTCATACTTCACTGGGTGCAAACCGGAAGGGAGAGGAACCATCTACCAATGCGCCATGCTTTACCAGCCTCACTCGACTAGAAACAGCCCCCAATCTATATCACAACATTCTAGATTACATCAACAATCTACAACTATATCACATACATGTATTTTATTCATCAATAACAATGTCATCCTCCACCGATGACTAAGGACAAAACTTCTAACAATTAAATGCACGACTCTCGTAACTCAAATCCACAACCGATTCCACCATATTTCAAGTCATTGACGTTTTTAATGAAATCATTTGAAAACAACCATTTCCCGTACTCACTTTACATTTCCATTTTTTCATTTTATTTCACAAAAAATTTACAAACGTCATATTTTTTCAAAACCAAACTAGTTCTCCCAAATCTCCAACCATTAGCCGAAAACCCTTTCTAATTGTCAAAATCCCAATTGGTGGATACACAAACACAACCCAACCCAACATAACATTAACGAAACAATCACAAGATCCGATTAACTTTTTTTTAATAACCCAAGCTCTAATTCATTAATGTAAACACATAACCCAACAATTACTCAACTTTAATTCCTTTAGTTCTATCAAACTCTTAATTACAAATTATGGTTTTTCACCACTATCAATGTAAACGTGATTAACTACCTCCCAATTTACCAAATCAACCCATAACATGATTATTTAACTCAAAAAATTCAAAACCCTAAACCTTTTCATGTTTTCTCAAAATTCCATAATAAAACATTCTTTTAATGTGATAAAAACTGTCACATATTTATCTATAATGAGGTATTGAAAAGAAGCAACAAAATCCCTACCTCAAGCAAGAAGAGAAGAAAGTTCGAAAATCCAACTTCAAGGAAAACACGATTTGCTCAGATTAAAAGGAAGCTCTCACCATACTCTACGTTTTGATATATAGGACTACGATGAGATTCTTACTCCAAAGAGTTGAAATCCAAGGTATAAGAGCTTGAAGCTCGAAAATTGAGGAAAGAGAGACAGAAGAAATGGTGAAAAGTGAAGAGATTTGACCAAAAAAGTGACTTTTAAAGATCTCATCCCGAACAGAGAAGTGAATCAAGACTTGCAGTATCACATACAATTTTGAAAAACAGACTGGAAGGGTCTATGGACCATTCGATCGGTGAAACTTGTGCTCGAGCAAATTCACAACACAAATTCACAAATTTCAGACGGATATAACTCTCTCGTTCGGACTCCATTTAGGGTCGTTCTTGTAACCAAATTGATGCCCTGAAAATAATCTTTCTAATGGTTCTAACCTCATATCAAGATTCAAAGTATGGAGAGAAAAAATGATAAAAAAATAAAGACTACTCAAGAACAACTATTTGAATTTGGAGTTTTTAATCAAGTCTTGCCCAACCATTATGATAATGCCTCAACCAAGACTCAAATATCGACTAAGAAGGTTCTCAATTATAATAATCAAATAATCAAATATAATTCTATTATACTAAGAAGTATGGAGTGCTACAAAACGGCACCCTAGGTATATACTTATAACATTAAGTATCATGATTATTTTTATCTATCGTTTAAAATCATTGTGAATCCTTACTAGAATTTTGTATTAATCCCATGTTACTAAACCATTTTCAGGTACGGATTATGCTACATCCTTCAAGGATCAAGAAATTATTTCTATCCAGAACCAATTCTTTGTTCATTGTAGGTGAAGGGTTTACTGTTGTAGAAATGATGTTATTCACTTTGTAATTATTTATTTTTTTTAATATTCAATGTAAGTCTAAAGGCATAGATTGTAATTTGTGACATTATAAGTTCCACATCTATATTATTCGAAATAGGATACTTTCTATATATTCACTTGTACTCTTATTTCCGCACTAGTGTTATGTAATTGAACTTTAATAAAGAATTTGGCACTTTACGAGAGTAATAAACAATTAAGGGGGATACAATTCCTAAAACTAACTTCTTTTCAGAACTTTAATAAAGAATTTGGCACTTTACGAGAGTAATAAACAATTAAGGGGGATACAATTCCTAAAACTAACTTCTTTTCAAAATTAAACAAAAATGGGCAATCACGTAGTATAATTTTTTTTTTTATTGTATATAACTCACAACTTAATATAAACTTAAATTACAATATAATAATATATTTTTTTATATCATGTGATATTTTTTATTTAATTTTAAACGGAGTTTAATTTTTAAAATAAATTAAGAAAAACGTCAAAATATTTTTTTTAAAAAAATCATTAACGACCAACGGTGAAATATAAAAGGGACAAAATATAATTTACCTGGTTTTTCTTAACCTTTTCCATCCTCATGCTAAACAGAGAGACCTTGAGATCCCGCTTCGACTCAGACGAGTCAGACACAACACACACAAATAGAGAGAGAGAGAGTTAGGTTTGGTAGGACCGGTCCAATCCAGTGCTGTGCTTGAGTTGAGAGAGCTCGAGTTGAGGAGGCTCCATGGAACCATCTCCATCATCGTTGCCAAGAAAGAGAGGGAGACCCAGGAAAGATAAACCCAAAGAAGAAGAGAGAGAGACAGAAACTGAAAGAGAGACAGAAGAAGCTACTGCTACTCCTACTCCTACTACTCCTACTACAACTACTGCTGCTGAGAAGATGCGAGACAGAGTTGAGAAGAAGCCTCAATCTTCCAACATTGATGACAAATACACTCACTGGAAGTCTCTCGTTCCCATTCTCTACGATTGGCTTGCCAATCACAACCTCGTCTGGCCCTCTCTCTCTTGCCGGTAATCTATTTCTACTTCTCACTCTAGGGTTTTATTTTTTATTTTTTTTGAATCTACTGCGACCTCAGTCGAGGGTTTTGAATCTGTTTGTTGTTAGCTTGAAATGTAAAGTGGCAGCCTTTTTTTTTTTTTTTCGATTCACAGTTTGGAAAACCCTAGATCAGCTGCTGTATTTGTGATTTTATCTCCATTTTTTCTTCTATTAGTGTGTTTTGGGTTTTGGTTTTTGTGGTTGGTTGATTCGAATTTTGGGTTTGTTTCTGTTGATTCGGTTGATTGTATTTTTATTTTTTTATTTTAATTTAATTTTAAAAATTGGTGCTTTGGTAATGGGTTCGATTTTGTTGCTGAGTTTAGGTGGGGTCCACAACTTGAGCATGGGAAATTCAAGAATCGACAACGTCTCTACCTGTCTGAACAGGCAAGAATACACTTTGTAGTAGCTTCTATGATTCATTTCGTTTTTAGGGTTGGTTTGCTATTGTATTTGTTGAACTCCCAGTGTGATCATATATATTATATATTGTTTTAGTTCATCTAATGTGTTTTCAGATTTTAGTAATTATAAAATGTAATAGCTCGAACTAAAGTTATTGGGTTTAATTGTAATTGATCTTTTAGCCAGTAAGCATCATTGAATTGAATTTTTTTCCTAGTATTTATTTATTTGTCTTTAAATGAACTTTAAAGTTGACAGTAATATAAACCGAAATGATAGCTCTGTAAATTGTAATGCATGACTATTCTTTTACTAAATCCATGTGTTTTCTGTGAGCTTGCTGTATCCTTTGTAATTATGTGTTAATCTAAAGAATCTCCATTAACATGCCTTGCATTTTACAAGTTTATCTGCCCCTTATCTTATTTGCCTCCTCTCCACCCCGTCCTCCTCTCTCTGTTGTTCTCTTTTGCTTGACAGACTGATGGAAGTGTTCCGAATACTCTGGTCATAGCAAATTGCGATGTTGTCAAATCCAGGGTTGCAGCTGCGGAGCACATAGCACAGGTCGTTTCATTTTATTTTAAATTTTGTAAGTTTTTATGATCATAAACGATGCACACATCTCTATTTCTCCTTACCATTGTACTGCTTAATATCAGTTCAATGAAGAAGCACGCTCGCCATTTGTGAGGAAGTACAAAACTATCATACATCCTGGGGAGGTATGATCTGCATTCATAAACACAAAAATCCCAACATGAGCATATATATATATGCATGTATGTTTTGTTTGCATAAATCATTGTGAGGGTTTTATGCTCCCATTTGTTTGTTCTCTACAGAATTTTATCCCATACATCCTAAGTATAAAATATTTGCTTATATTGATGCCAAAATATAAACACAATTTTTTATGTGTAACTTCAGTAAAATCAAAATACTGCAACAATCCCCTCCTAACAACTCTAGGTCACCAAATTGCTACTGAACTGCTGCCCCCATAATTGACACAACCTTGCCTGCATATTGGATGCACCTTTTCATCCCTGTTAATGTGAGTGATTGTGCCTCCACTTATAGTCTTTGTGGCACTTCAATTTTCTAAAATCAAGTGATTGTTTGGTTTGATTGCTTCAAATGATATGAATTCTCGTTTGGTTTATGAAAAGATGGAAAGAATATTCTTCATGCTTACACTTCGTGTTTTAACTTTTAAGCTCATATCGGCTATTTGGAATGTGTTTTGCTCGTTGTCATGCTTTAATAATTCCTAAAATGGGATTTTGATCTAATATTCATCGAATGATTAATGTCATTTGTTATAATCATTGAACCATTGCAGGTGAACAGGATCAGGGAACTTCCGCAGAACAATAATATAGTGGCAACCCATACTGACTGCCCTGAAGTAGGTGGTTAAGGTTTCATGCATGCTATTCAAAGATTCTTCAAAATTCTTACTGTCTTGTTTTCTGGTTTAATTGATTGGAAGTATTTAAAGTTCACTTGATTTGGTTATTATTTTGCCAGGTTCTTATTTGGGATGTTGAAGCCCAACCTAACCGTCATGCTGTCCTTGGAGCAGCTGATTCTCGTCCAGATTTGGTGCGTTTTCTCTTGTGCCAAACACAGTATAAATTTTCTGCACAGTTATATAGATTATGTTTTTCTCTTTTCTTTCTAACAGATAGGTTTTGGTTTTTGTTTTTGTTTTTATTTTTATTTTTATTTTTATTGTCATGATGAATAACAAATCAGTTTTCCTGCAGTCTTACATTGGTTATGTTGTATATGTCTCACTTTTCCATCTAATATTGTTGTCCTTTTTGCAACATGTTCCACTTTATTATTACAAGAGAAAGGGTGGTTCTTTATTTTTAGGCTACTAGAAAAGATTGGTTGTCTGGTGTTCAAAACTGAAACATCTATTTTTAGTGGTTTCTTGTGAAATACAATAGATAATATGTAGAATGGTCAAGATCCCCAAACCAAGCAACCAGCTCTTTGCAGGTACGAAAAAACTTTCAATCATTAGAGTTTAAACATTTGAAAATTTTAGAATCTTAACGACACTAATAAAGAGAAGATAATCGGTTTTAACGGTTGTTGTTGATATGGATAGACTTTGAACCCTTTGGGAATTATGGTAGGTACTAAGATGGTGCTATATCTCCAGAGATTGAGAGGGAGACAGTTGAGGCAACCTTATAGTACAGAGAGTGGTAGTTTGGGGAAACTTTTGATATATATAGGTTGGGAGAGTGAGCTCCCCTCAAGTGTATCTCTAATACTTCGCCTATCAAAAAAGTGTATCTCTAATACTCTATATGGAGGTGGGTACCTTTAATTGGAGAGTTAGACCATGGAGGCTGTGGTGATAAGCTTTTCAAGGTGTCACAATGGGTAGGTGTGATATGTCTTACAAGGTACCACATGTCTTGGTCAAAGTTGTTTTTGTAGAGCCCCATGTCTGATGTAACATTTCTAAGATTGGTCAAAGTAGAGTGCTCGGGGGTGAGCTGGGAAATTTTGAAGATCCCTTAACTCTAGCCAGCGACCCTGGTAAATTGTGAGTGACCATTGGTACACTCAGGTGTTTCCACCATGGCATTGACTCCATAAGGAGATTCCTAAGCTTGCTCCTGGCCTTGGTAGAAATGATAATGCCACGGTGCAAGTTCAAAGTCGAGTGGATGAGGTCAGATGAGGCGAATTGCCGAGTGGCAAGGCGAGCAGTACATAGATGAGGCAAAGTGGTTGGGTGCATTAGATGAGGCAAAATGAGGCAAGTGACATGGAAAAATAAGGTGGACATGATAGAGAAACATGGAGCCATGTGAGGCACAGTTGTGCAAAGGAAAGGTAACTTCCATTAGGATGTGGGTTCAGTCCCTCGGTAGGATGTGGCTGGCCTAGGGGATTCAATTACCAACAATCAGTTTGTAAGTGTATTCTACTATCAAGCATGGATACTGCAAAATAGGCGTCTTTAATTTTGTTTTTTTTTTTTTGCGGCGTGTCTCTTTGATTTTATTTTTTATTTTTGCAGAGAACATGGCAGGGGCACGCGTGTCCAAATATGAATAATCTATTAATTTGTTTAAATGTAGTGGTTTATATATATATATATATATTGAATTAATATTAATTTTTATTAATTTTGATTGTTTTGTAACATTATATTAATTTGTATAGCAAATATATATAAAATAAAAATTTGTCGTGTCCCCTGCCATGTCCATGTCTCCATTTTTTTTTAAATCACCATCTCCCGTGTCCGTGTCCGTGTCCATGCTTCATAGGTATACTAATTTAGATATTTCATCATTTGCCTTACATTATCAAAATCCTAGAATTCTCTCTCTCTCTCCCCCTCTCTCTCTCTCTCTCTCATGCATGCCCACTCTTCCAACAATCTTGGGTAAGTGGGTTTGAGAAATAATTAACCTTCTCAGAATAAAAATTAATGTCCTAATTTCTAGTTACTCTAGATCCACCTCAACAAAGTTTTTTTCATTTTTTTTTTAATTTTTTTGATTCAGTGGAGGCTTGATTAAAATCTTTTGTTTATGTCTGCTGTGGACAAGTCACTTTAGAGTTTTTCTAAACATCTACCGAAAATGGAGTATGTTTGGCTCATTAAGAATATTTGTTTTATGAACTCCTTTTTCTTTCATAAATTGTCATTTTCTATTCTAAGATAGTATTGTTCTAGAGTCAACAATTTCTAAATTGAAAACCCTAAGAAACAAGTGTATGATTTTCTTGGAATATAACACAAAGCTTATATAATGGAATTCTAACCCCAAGGGGTGTGCCTGGTGGCAACGCCTTGGGTCTTGTGGGTGTGCTCCCTCTAAGGTTTAGGGATCGAAACCTCTTAGGTACTAACAATTCCTTGGGACCATCAAACTTGGGGAAAACCTTCAATTAACCGTGGTGCATTTGCAAAAAACTTCTTGTTGAGGGCTTATGTACCCCTGGGGATTAGTTAGGCTTTGATTCAGACACTTAGTCCTCGTTTGCGAACATGCATTTTTAGTAACTTTTTGGCCTTTTGGCTAAAATATGATGTAAGAAAAACTAGTATGTTTGGGATGACTTTTTGATTTTTTACGAAAAGATGTGCAAAAAGTAGAAAGAAAAGGGAATCTTTGACTTTTTGGTATAGGTTGTTGGCTTTTTGATTTTTTTAGTAGCTTTTTGGCTTTTAGTCTAAAAAGGTTACTTCCACAAAGAGGCCTTAGTGCCAATTAATATATATATATATATATATATAATGGAATTATGAGAATAAAGGAACTCAAAAAAAATAAATAAATAAATAAAAAATAAAGAAAGAAGAAAAAGAAGCATGTATGATATGCCTAGAAATAAACTCTTCTGGTTATATGGCCCCACAGATTAGTTTCTCCAACCTTTTCTTTTGGTTTTGGTGGCAAAGTTTCCCTAACCTTCCCATGTCAACTAGTCAGCATTAATTATTTATGGGAGTTTGCTGGCCTGAATTAACCTGATTCATGACAATTTTGATCTGTTTAAGAGAACCATCGGTTGTCACTTGTGAGTTAGTTTGCTTGTTTGTATCTCTTCACACAAAATTTACACCTTTTTGATGTTTTTATTTTGGTAGGTATTGACTGGACATCAAGAGAATGCTGAATTTGCTCTCGCTATGTGTCCTACTGAGCCCTTAGTGCTCTCTGGAGGTTTGTGATTTGTTGTAATTTTCATTGTTCTTTGTGATTTCTATCCAACTCTTGTGCAAATTGTCATCTAGTTATTCACTAACTGAATTATCATTGAAAATAATCCCTTGTATATCAAATGCTGTAAAAACGAAATGGTTTTGTGGCTGGGTTTTTTATGCTTTATGTTCTTATAGAGTTTGGAATGTGGAACATAACATAGTTTGTTTTTGTTATTAACAATCTATAGTCTTTGTCTGAGTTTCAGTTATGCATTTTGAGATTTTTAATACTACATTTTTAGGATTTAACTTTGGACCCCCTATCCACCAAAATTGCCTCCCACTGCTTCTACTTTGAATCCCCACCATAATCCAAAAAATACCCCTTTTTGGACCCCACCCCTTCCACCTAGTAGTGGACATGGGCCAGGATTGGGCGGGTTAGGATTAGGTTCATATTACATAATAACACTTGAGAAGTCATTTCCCAAGTCTGGTCTGGCCAGGATCAGGCGTATATTTTATTTCCAAACTTATCCGAAAACAAAATAATAAATCCCAAACCCATCCACATGGCCCGGATTTAATAATATTTTTTTCATGTGTGCTTCTTTAACCTATTCAAGACTATTAGTTCGATTTTTATAACTAATTCTTACATAATTAGTAATACACTATTTATGTTTATAAAAAATGAAGTTAGTGTAAAAATACATCAATATGTATATTTATAAAAATATAGTGTATAAAGCAGGGTGGGTTGGGCTTGAAGCACTCTTCACAAGCCTGATCCATATTATAATTGGGCTTAACTGGCCCTGTGGGCCTAAACCACAATCCCAAACCCTATAAATCCTAGGCACGCTTAACAAACCATCGGGCCATTTCCATCCCCTATTGCCACAAACTTACCTTACCTCCAGCAGCCCCTCTCCTTACCACCACCTTTCCTTCTGGCAAACCCTACTCCCTACCACCCCCCCACCCGCAACAACCCCCAGCCACCCTTAGCTTGACCTTCACCTCCGACCGTTGCTGCAACCCCAGCGCCCCTCTCCCACCCCCTACTAGAGGTGGCAAACTCAACCTAAACCTATGAACTCGCCCAATTATACCCATGTAAAACTTGACCAAATCCGCCCAATTGCCACGTCTACCCCCTGCTACCAGCCACCCCCAGGAAGCACTCCATCGAGCGACCCTTATTTGCAAGAATCATGCATACGTTTCTAAAGAAACGTGTTTTTATCCAAGATGGGATTGGTGGTGAAAATCAAACAACTCTAGAAGCAATACAAAAAAAGAATCTCAAGTAGATTTGGGCGTAGATCTGAAGCAATGGATTTGAAAGAAAGAAAAAAAAAAAAAAAAAGGAATATGATTTTCTTTTTCAAAATTAGATATGCGGTTGAAGAAGAAGGAGAAGTAGTCGAAGAAGAAGGATGGCATACCTTTCGAAGAACATGAAGTGAAACAAGACCGAAAGAGAAGTCGAAGCAACCATAGTTTTTCGAATCAACCAGTCTTTGAAGAGAAAGAATACGTCAGAGCTGCCACACTATATTGGATGTGTTTATCTTTCTTTTTTCTTTTTTTATATTTTATTTTGACCTAGTTTGTGGTCATGGACTTCATTTAAAAAGTTCATTGGGCCTATAGTTGGTCTTAGCTTGCAGATTCAAAGAGCATTGGATGCTATTGTATTGCAATCGAAGCCCATTAAAAAGAAAGAACATGCATATTATATAAAAAATATATAAATAAATAAAATAATGAACTTTGATATATTTGAATAAAGCCAAAAAAAATATTTGTATTTTTTTATTATCTTACATTATCTTATATTATATATATATAAAGGTTTCCGAAACTTTTATCTACCCATGGTCCCCTCCATCCACCCTCACGAAGCCCTCCACCACGTAACCCCCTTCTACCTTCGCGATGCCCTTGACAAACAAGGGTGGGGGTGGCTAAGTAGGTGGTGACAGAGTGTGTGTGTGTGTGTGTGTGTGTGTGTGTGTGTGTGTGAGAGAGAGAGAGAGGCGGGGGGAAGGGGGCTTGCGATAGATGGGTGGCGAGGTGGGTGGCGGGGAAGACGGGTGAGGGTAAGGAGGGTTTGGGAAGGGTCACTAGAGCTGGGATGGGCAAGGAGAGCACTGGCTGGAGCTGGCCGCTCCCAACTTTGCCTTTAGTGAACATTTTTATTAATTTTTTTTTACTGTTTAGGTCTTTCTAGTCTTAAAAAAAAGAATTAAATAAAAAAATGTAAAAAACATAAACTTTTTTCCAATGCCATACACATCAACTTTTTTTTTTTTTTTAAACATCTTAAAAAAGCAAAAAAGCTACTGAAAAAAACATTTGCCAAACTAGTCCTTGATCTACATATTGAGTTCTAATTTAGTTGAGTTTTATGGCAGGGAAGGACAAGTCTGTTGTCTTGTGGAGTATTCATGATCATGTATCCACATTGGCATCAGATCCATCCACCAAGCCTACAGGATCTGCCGGATCAATCATTAAAACTACTGATAACATTTCTATTGGGCCACGTGGAATCTTCCAGGGGCATGAGGACACAGTTGAAGATGTTCAGTTCTGTCCATCGAGGTAAGTTTATGGTCTTAGTCAGATTGCTTCAGTTATCTAGTTGCTCTCTCTCTCTCTCTCTCTCTCTCTCTCTCTCTCTCTCTATTCTTCAGTTCTGGGCTATAACAGTATCATGTCTTGTGAGGAGTATGCTAATCAGTAAATTAGACTTGATTTCTGTTTCTAAGATCCTATCATTGACATTTTTCATCTTGATGTCACATTTAGTAGCAACTGCACTCATTGATAAATATTCCTGGGAAAAAAAAGGAGAAATTAATCTCAATTCACCCAAAATTTTCTTCTGTATCATTGTAGCATTTGATCTAGTTTCGTAGGTTTTTGATGGGGACTGTCTTTCTGACGTTTATCCAACTTTGATGAAGTGCACAGGAGTTTTGTAGTGTAGGAGATGATTCTTGTCTAATATTATGGGATGCACGAGTTGGCACTAGCCCAGTTTTTAAGGTCAGGAGCTTCCCACTTTTTGTTGCTTGGTAATTTACTGTTTCTTTTGTATAATGTACCTCACTGTATTCATGAAAAGTGGAAAACACATAATACAGAGTTTAAACTTGCTTGATATGGCTGTCTGTATAGATGGGTGGATTGTGTCCTTGGCACAAAGCATTAATCCATCTATTGAATACTCCTCGATGATTACACTCTGCTATTGCTGGCAACCATGTGTTGAACAAGGGATAATTCTTGATGAAATTTAATGTCTCAACATACATAAATAAGTAGGAGTACCACATATATTTAGGTAATTATGTTCTGTGTTCAGCCTATCATTCTGTTACTTCCATTTCCTTAATGTTTGAGAAACAATTGTGGATTGCTTTCCTCAAATTGTCTGTATCATTCTCATGGAGTTGTGCTTGTAATATTTCCCGAAATTGGGAGTGGAGCAGGGTTACTCTGTCTCCTTATACTTGGTCTTATATTTAGGTCGTTACAAAATGATTTTGATCTGCAATTTAAGTTATTTGGTTCCTGCATTAATGTGCTAATTATCAGAACAAGTCTGACAACTCTTCTTTTCCTGTAAAAATTCATTGTATATTAGTGTCTTTTGTTACTTCTTAATTTTATTTTTTCTTATTTTCTTTTCCCGTTCGAGAATCGAGAGTAATTGGCTGGGAGGCAGTATTGTGGATTAAAATTTCTCCTGAATAACCACTACTCTTTTCATATCAGACTGCCTTCATTAGCTATGCAGTGTTCACTTTCCCTGTTGCTATGATTTTTTGAACCATGTTCACCTGTATTAACTCTCTCTCTCTCTCTCTCTGAGATAATCCCACTTTATGTGCGTGATGTTTAGTGAACTATTATTTGTTTGTGGTGAATAGGTTGAAAAAGCACATGATGCTGATCTTCACTGTGTTGATTGGAATCCCCATGATGAAAACCTTATAATAACTGGGTATATTCTTATTCCTCTTTACTTTTTGTGCATTTAACTAGACCATGGAATTTAAAGCCGGGGTATTTGATATATCTAGATTTAGTACTTATTTTCTGCATAAAATTGGATTTGTGATAGTTTTTAGGTGCTTTTGTTTTTCTACGATGTCATTTCAGGTCTGCAGATAATTCTGTTTGCATGTTTGATCGCCGGAATCTGACTTCTGATGGAGCAGGGTTGCCCGTTCATAAGTTCGAAAGTCATAAAGCTGCTGTTCTGTGTGTGCAGGTCTTAAACAAGTTTCTTCTATTGTTCATTTCATTTTTCATTTTTGTTTCTTTTGTGCTGCTATATAAATTGTTTATTTTTTACCCAAACTTTCAATTCATTTTACAGTGGTCACCGGACAGGTCATCTGTCTTTGGAAGTTCTGCTGAGGATGGTTTCTTGAATATTTGGGATTACGAAAAGGTGTTGGATATACTTCTACCCTCACTATTACCCCCTTCTCTCTCAGTCTATAGCGCAAGTGCATATGTGTTAATATCACAATGAGTAAATTCACTGCTCATCTCACAGACCAGAATGCCTGTAAATCAGCTCCAAGAAAGTATAACATGCATTGATTAGGCTATTTTCCAACTGATTTTTTTGAAACCCTACATGTCATTGTTATTTTTAATGTCTTGTCCAGACTGTTATTTGTTAACGGTAAGGATATATTCTGTAGGTTCATATGTGCAAACTATCATTAAGAAATTCTTTTGTCAAACACATCTTCAAAGAAAGATACAAGCAGAAAAAGGAAAAATTTTCAGTTAAAGTTACATACTTGCATATATATTCCAATAAAGTTTAGTCACATCTACCACTGGACATTTGAAATAAAGAAGCCATTGTTTTCTGTCCCCCTCCTATGCTGTGCTTCAGAGCATTTCATCAAAGTCTCGTATGAGTGTAACCTTAACACTATGTTTGGATATCTAGGAGAGAAGAAAACAAATGATTTTTTAAGTTTGGAGAGAAGAGAAGAGAAAAGAAAAGAAAATATCTCCCTTTTGTTTGGTTAAGCTGAAGAGAAAATATAGTTATCTCTTCAATTTTGTTTGGATAGATTACATAAAAGAAAAGAAAGGAACTCTTACAGATTATATTACCAAAATAACCTTATATGTTTTTATTTCTTTAGTACCTAGCTGGATAATTTTGGTATTATATAAAATTAGTAATCATCCCATTCCTTTTTTTCTCCCTATCTCTCCAAATTTGGAGAGATTTAAAAAACGGGTTGTAATAGAAATCAATTTCTCTCCATTTCTTTCTTCTTCTTTTTTTTCCTTTTAAAAAAAAAAAATTAATTCTTCATTTTTTTGATAAAATTTCTTCATTCTTTCCATTTCTTAATTTTTTTTGATAAATTTTATTAAGAAAAGTATCAAGATGATGCAAACATTACAGTCTTTGCCAAAAACAGTAAAAAAAAAAAAAAAATTGATTAGGTCCAAGAGAAATCGATTTTTTCTTTTATTCTCTCTCCAAATCACTCAATCCAAACAGACTCTAAGGCTGATATAGGTGTAATATTTTCTTACTAATGTGTACTGTTGAAAATTCTTCTGACTTTGGGTTGTATTACATTTATTTCAATAATGGAACAACCTACTTGTAAATAGATTGGGTTACCATTTTGTAACTGTTAATGTTTATGAAGTTTCTTCCGTATTATTTTTTCTTGTTGTCTGTGGAAAGTAAGTACTTTTGCCTACATCCTCTTGCAGGTTGGTAAAAAGAATGAAAATGGAGCGAGAACGCCAAATTCTTGTTCAGGATTGTTTTTCCAGCATGCTGGGCACAGGTTTGAAACTGATTACCTCTGCAACTTAATTAACAAAGCCTTCTCCCAAATAATTGGTGTTTTCTCTTTCTGAAATCTTTTTGGTTCCACTGTGCGAAGGCACTTTATTTTCCAGTAGGTGATGCCATTGTGTCTTTTTCTGATGACTTGGTCATCTGTTTTTCTTTGTTGCGCCTTTTAATTAAGCCTTTTGTCCATTCTGATCGCATTGAGATGTCGCTGCTGGTTATCTTTCTGTGGATATTTTTTTTATTTTTTTATTTTTTTTTTTGGCAATGTAGACAACATAAAAAGGAAAGATGAACAAAAATTTGGAAGAAAAATGAATGGATGGCTTAATTCCACCCCGAGTCTCTGTTGATTTTGTCGTTTGTGCACGCATGTACATTCGCTTTTTATTCTGTTGGGATAGTTTAATTTGTTATATTCTTGTGTTTTTGGTAGACTGAAAATGTAATAATAATAATAAAGAAGAAGAAGAAGAAGAAGTAGACTGAAACTATTGTTTTATTAGTACAGATGCAGATTGAAAGATGAGTATTGTTTCTGCAATGTCTATGAATGCTAAATATATGTAATGGAAGAACAATTATGTTCAAATTTAATAGGAATAACTCCTTAGGTTTAGATATATCATTCAATCTGTGAGGAGTTTGGCAAGTTTTCTTGAAGTTCTTGAAGAATCCGTTTAATGTGTGTAATGAATCGGCAGAATTGTTTGAACCGGGCTAAAACTCTGTTTTGGAACTACGGTAGGACACATTAGGTCAACGCGCATAATGATTGGGAGTTTCCATGGCAGAAAATATGCTGCAACTTTCATTTGGAACACGAGTCGGTAAGGGAATGAGGTCATGGACAATATGTTTTAAAACAATACTTTCAAGTGAAATTTTGAAAGATATACTTCTTCAGAAGCAACTAGCAGTGAATGTGACTTTGTTTTGTGGGTTTTTGTGTTAGGCTAAAATGTGGGCTGGTTATTGCCTCTTCTTGTTTTTATTTTTATTTTTATAAATATATTAATAATCTATGACAAATCTCATGTCTTGTCTTTATTAGGGGTGAAATCGGTTCGGTTCGGTCGGTTATTGAGCAAAATTCTTGCCGAACCGAACCCCTCGGTTTTGTATATGGACGCACCGACACCGACCAAGAAAAGTTTTCAACCATCCCGAACTGTTGTATATCAGTACGGTCGGTTTCAGTTCGGTTTACTCTATTTTTCTTGATTTTCTCATAAACCAAACACAGAGGAGAAAATATTTGAAGACCCAAAAGGTCACTTTCCATGGCAGAAGAGAAGGAGCATAGAAAAATGAGAACTCAAAATCGTAGAATTTTGAAGAATTTTGAAACAGAACAATAAAAGCTCTACGGAAAGATGTAGAGTAATAGAAGTAGAGAGAAATCACCACCCATGGAAAATAATCAATTCACTTCACAGATCTGGTAAAGGAGATGAGGATCTCTGTCATGCAGTATATACATGGATTGCTAGATGTCAGATCTGGATGAGAGTGGTAAATCGAAGACATCGATGAGCCAAAGCTTTATGGACTTCGACGGTGATTACAAAAAGCCATTGGAGAGAGAGAGAGGACCAATATGGGGTTTAGCTGCTGTGTGAGGGATGATTGAAGGGGATATATATGTTACACGTGTGGACGACTTAGATTACTTCTAGGATGTGTGGATGGCTGGGATGTAAAATAACAAACGGTCCGGTTCGGTGGGTTTCGGTCTCATGTAAGAAAACCGCAATCGAACCGAGTCAAAAAAATTAATAAAATCCAAACCGCACCGACTGTTCTAAGGGAATAAACAGACCGAGAATTGTTTTTTTCGGCCGGTTTTGTTGGTCTGTTCGGTTGTGTCGGTGAAACTTTCACCCCTAGTCTTTATGTTATGCTTGGAGCCCTTTAAGTTATTCTTTGCACTATCAATTGATTGATCCGATAATTGTGTAGTTTGTTCAAGGTTTCGGTTGCTAGAATGCTTCTGTTCGTTTTGTGCGTCTTTTTTTTACTCCATAATGATTAAGTTGTTTGTTTATGCATCCAGGGACAAAGTTGTCGACTTCCACTGGAATGCTGCTGATCCATGGACAGTTGTTAGTGTATCTGATGACTGTGATACCTCAGGCGGAGGTGGAACGCTACAGGTATCAGGGCGTTCCTTGTCATCCCTTTTTCTTGACATCTCGATTTCAACTTGTAGATGTACTAACTGGTATTACATTGTTCTCTGCAGATATGGCGCATGAACGATTTGATTTACAGGCCTGAAGAGGACGCTTTGGCTGAGCTCGAGAAGTTTAAATCACATGTGGTCGATTGTGCTTCCAAGTCTTGAAGCATACAGAAACAATGTGTATGGAATAGCTCAAGTACTTGTAGTGTTTCCCCCACCCTCAAGGATCAGTGACCAAAAATTTGATTTGATTTATCTGTTTTTGATGTCGGAAAATATGACCCAATTGAAAAGATTTTAGGTTGTCTACCTTCTGGGCTCTTTGGTATATCTGAGCTTGCCTTTGGAAAAATGTAGTGCAGGCTACAGTTTTGCATCATTAAAAAAATTAGTCTTAAAAGACTTTTTGTTATAGTGAAGATCGAAGTCGTTTGTTTTCAAGTTAAATATGTGCTTAGTAAATTCCACTATTTGAGGTTAGTCTATATATCAGTTTACCAGTAAATGAGCTTGTTTTGTATCAAAAAGTCGATGTGATACATTACGAGCACAAGCTGTATTTAAAATTTTTGCGTTTTAATAGAACAAGACTTGGCCTAAACAAGTATTTCAGTATTTTTTAAAGTAAATAAATGGCCTCTGCTAGCAGCTGACTGGTGTGATGAGCATGATAGAAGGTTTTTTTTTTTATGGATCTGTCTAATCCGCTCAAGCCGATTGATTTTGGGGGGATGTGTGTTTTTTAGTGGACGGATGCAGATGAAATATTTAAAACTTTGTGGATATGGTTTGGATGACGAATTAACTATCCTGCATCCGTACGAACCCGATCCGTCTATAGATGAAGTTTTAGAAAAATAATAATAATAAAATACTAACAAGTAATAACATAGAGTAGAAATAATAAAATATATATTTTTGTAAAAATGAAATAATACCTTAAAAATATGTGTGTGTGGGGTGAAATGGTCTATTATTGACAAATAATATATATTTTTTTAGATTACTAGTTATTGAATAGTGTAGAAGTTGTGAATTATAATTCAAAAAAATGTCTAAAATTTGTAAAGTTTAAACCGCTAAACCGATTGTATCCATCTGCTAACCTGCACAGCTTGCTTAATCCGCATTCACCAAACCAATTTTAAACGGATGAGGAATGAAATACCACCTGACTAAACTCGATCTGCGATCACTCCTAAACTAATGGTATGTAGAAATTGAATTTATATTAAAAAATTATTATAAAACATTCTTCAATTATAATGCAAAGTATATTCATGTATCTTATGGGATGTTGCTTGTTGAATGCTTTGGATAAACTGCTTGGTTTAAAATACTAATTTCGTGAAACTAACTCGATTTTCAAATTTCAAATTTTCCTGATTTTCAAAAGTCTTTCCAAAACACCATCAGCAATTCATTGTTTTTATCTGGCACACTAATAAAGGTTCCGCTCTTTTAAAAAAATAATAATAAAAATAAAAAAAGGAAAAAGAAAAAGAAAAAGAAAAGCCTCAGTGAGAGAACTTTTAACTAAAATGTCAAAAATTATCATCCGTCATGTAATACTCTTCCAATTGATTGAATTTTACCCGGTTCAACGAGCTAAAATCAAACATAAACACCACAAGCAAGAAGCAAGAAGCAAGAACAAGGAGCCAAAACCGTGCACCAACATCATGATTCAGCATCAGCAACAAAAAAATTAAATAAATAAAATAAAATTCAAAACATAATATTAGATTATTAAATTAAAAAAATTTAAAAAAAAATGAAAAAACCACCAACATACATACCAAGAAGACAGATGCAACTGCCTCTGTTGTGAGCTCCTTTGCCAGGCAGAGGTTTTTCCTTGAAGATGTTGCTTCATAGCTGCAATAGAAATTTATGGTCATTTGAAAACCGCTTGGCATATGAAGGGAAAATGTACATTCTAGCAAACTTTAAAGATAGGTGGAGCAGCCTTCAGATTTTTGGAAATGGATTTACATTAATAACATGCTCTGGGAACTTTTCCCAAACTAAGCCTCTTTTGCATCTTATTTTCCAAACTAGGCCTAGTTTGGACGGAATTTCCAAACTAAGCTAAAGCGCTATTACAAATCACGCTTTCACTGTTTGGAGCCCAAAATGTGTGAATAGTGAAAGTGCTATTAAAAACCGCGCTTTTAATTAATAAAGCGCTGTTGAAAATCACGCTTTTAACATAATTTTTTTTTTTTGAAGAAAATGCTATTCGAAATAGCGCTTTCACTGTGCATTCGTATTCGGAAGAAAATGCTATTTGAAATAGCGCTTTCACTGTGCTTTCTTAGGAAAACGTTTAAAATATATTAGAATGTGATCAAAATAAAACATAAATGCTTTGTAACACAAATGGTAGTGTGCTTGTCTTGTGCCACAGTGGCGTGGGTTCAATCCGTGGAAATTGCTACCTTTCAATTAAGTTCAACTTTTTTTCTTTTTCTTTTTTTTTCTTCCACTCACTCTACACTTTATATATTTATTATGTAATTTTTTTATCAAAAAAAGTAAAATGTTTGTTTGGTTAACTAAAATTTTTTTCTATAAAAGACAATTTTTTTCAAAATGTCAACATAATTATTTAAAAAGTATTCAGTGTATTTGGTTTAAATTTTTTGGATTTAGTTATTTAAAAACTGAGTTTTTTTATTTTCGTATTTTTTTGTTTTTAGTGAATATTTTTAAAATTTTAAACTTTTTTTTTTTACTTTTTTAGATGCACCTTAGTTAGATGTATCTAAAAAGTAAAAAAATTGTGAAAAAATATTTTAAAAAATTAATAAATACATAAAAATACAAAAAATGTACTGAAAAAATAATTTTGTATTTTTAGTATCTTTTCAGCAAATTATGCACAGTGAAAGCGTACTCAAAAAATATTTTTTCAGCAAAATGTACGCTTTTAAAATGTACCAAAATATTTTAAAAGCGTACATTTTTTGAGTACATTTTGCTGAAAAAATTAATATTTTGTATTAATTTTTTCAGTACATTTTTTGTATTTTTTCACTCACTCTATACTTTTTATATTTATGAAAAAATAAAAAAAATGTACACTTTTAAAATGTACTAAAATATTTTAAAAGTGTACATTTTGCTGAAAAAATATTTTTGGAATACACTTTCACTGCGCATATTTTTTTGAGTACATTTTGCTGAAAAGATACTAAAAATACAAAAATATTTTTTCAGTACATTGTTTATATTTTTATGTATTTATTAATTTTATAAAATATTTTTTTACAATTTTTTTACTTTTTAGATACATCTAACTAAGGTGCATCTGAAAAAGTAAAAAAATATATATATAAAATTTTAAAAATATTCACTAAAAACAAAAAAATACGAAAATAAAAAAACTCAGTTTTCAAATAACTAAATCCAAAAAATTCAAACCAAATACACTGAATATTTTTTAAATAATCATGTTGACATTTTGAAAATAATTGTATTTTATAGAAAAAAAATTTAGTTAACCAAACAAACATTTTACTTTTTTTTGATAAAAAAATTACATAATAAATATATAAAGTGTAGAGTGAGTGGAAGGAAAAAATAAAAAAAAAAGTTGAACTTAATTGAAAGGTAGCAATTCCCATGGATTGAACCCACGCCACTATGGTGGCAAGACAAGCACACTACCATTTGTGCTATAAAGCATTTATGTTTTATTTTGGTCACATTTTAATATATTTTAAACGTTTTCCTAAGAAAGCACAGTGAAAGCGCTATTTCAAATAGCGTTTTCTTCCGAATACGAATGCACAGTGAAAGCGCTATTTCGAATAGCGTTTTCTTCACAAAAAAAAATTATGTTAAAAGCGTGATTTTCAACAGCGCTTTATTAATTAAAAGCGCGGTTTTTAATAGCACTTTCACTATTCATCATATTTTGAGCTCCAAACAGTGAAAGCGCGATTTGTAATAGTGCTTTAGCTTAGTTTGGGAATTTTGTCCAAACTAGACCTAGTTTGGGAAATAAGATGCAAAAGAGGTTTAGTTTGGGAAAAGCCCCCATGCTCTGAGCTCTCTCCTCAAGAGCAATGACTTGTCCAAACTTAATTTTGTATTACACATTGACATGGGTAGGCCCATAAAGGCTGCCCACTATGAACAACCCAAGCCTACCACTTAGGGCCCATTGCATAATTTAACTAATGAGGCCCAACATAGCCGGAAGTAACATGGCATTAAGAACCAATGATATTCAGACACGTGGTAGGTGAAGGACAAGCCACATAAGCAGACAAAGATCCTGCAAAGTTATAGTCACTACACATCGCCATTAATGAGTCTCTTACAGCATTTATTGCGATAACCCCTCTCCGTCGGGACAGAACGATTTCACCATGAACAAGGTGAGCTAGAGCATAGACTTTCGGCTAAGGAGACAGGTCAGAAGGGACAACGAAATGATTACCAGAGGATATAAGCAGACGTCAAAGACAAAAAGAAGGTTAAGCTTTCTATCTCTAATCTATCTCTACAATCTGCTTCTCTCTCTAACTTGCTCGTCGGAGGGTTCGCTGGGGGACTCCCCGTTCCCCGTTCCCCGTTGAACTCGTGTGCAGGTTTTATAGTGGGCTTGATCACTTGGACACCGGTTTGGGAAGTGTGGATCAGCCCGACCCGTTTCATCTGAAACCCGCTGTATCATCACACATAATAGTAGTAATTTATCCAACTTGTCACTGGACTCGGTTTTTGAAAGAGATTTGCTTGAGTTCTAACACATGAGAGAAACAATTCAAGTACTTGTTACATACATCATCTACAAAACCAAGTACTTGTTTTTTTATTTTATTTATTTATTTGTTTATTTATTAACCGTGTTAGTTGTTAGATTAGCTCATGGGAGGAGTTGAATCTTCAACGTCTCCCTTACAAGCACCTAAGTGCTACCTCCATGCCACTAAACCACCACAAGGCCATGGTCAAAATAAAATACTTGTTAATACATATTTTTTAAGTCCTGCCTAGCATGACTAATTCAAACACACACAAGGGCTGAACATAAATGAAAAATAAAAATGTACATCACAGAACACCCTTCATGCCCGTTAGGGACTAGAAAGTGAGATCCAAATGAAGCAATAACTTTGATAGCCAATACCCAATGCTTCCTAGTCTAACAAACCAATGTAGTGTTGACACATCAGGTAGTAACTCTCTCTCTCTCTCTCTCACACTCAAACAAACAAACCAAGTGCTATTGCCATCAAGTTAGGTATCCCACAAAACCTGGGCCACATAGTAACTGAAACAGTATCCAGACACTAATTCCCCTACAATGCACTAACTAAAAGTGTAGCCCAAGTCGTGGTTAAATTGTGACTCAAAGATGGAGTGTTCATTTGTAGGTCCATTGCACTAAGAACAAATTGCAAATTGAATGTGTAATGCAGCATTTGATAGATAAATTTCTATACATGTTCATTAAGACCTTTCTA